CCCCCCTTAAAAAAAACTGTGGTAAACAACTCCTCTTAAGGCATCTGGACAATGCACTGACGTCAGACGTGCTTGGTCAACATTCACACTCGACACTGAGAAACAGGCAGAAAGCAGAGAGGGGGGGGGGAGACAGGAGTGTGGATGAAATAGGGAAAGAGGGTAACTTTCTCATAAGTCGTCAGAACTGAGAGGGATCTCATAACAGAGGAGACAGAGGGATCAGACGAGGCTGTATCTGCACTACAGCTGAGAACACACAGCAGAGAAGAAAAAAAGTTAGACATATTCAGGATATCACTAACCTGACATGATGGAAGTCGTCCTAACCAGACTGCGGGACTTCTCCTGCAAAACCTCCACCTTTGATGACAGTAAGGCAGCAGGACCGAGTGCATGCAGGGATCCTCGCAGCAGGGCGGGATGCACAGCTGGAGAGGAAGCTGGAAAACTGGACATAGAGAGCGCACTAGCCTGGCTGCGAAGAGAACTGGTAAGAATGAAGCTGTGTTCTCATGATGATGATGATGAAGTCCATATCAACGTTTTTTTTGTGGAAATTATATTTTTCTAAGTATTTAATTCTGAGGTTTATTTGATATGTATTTCTTTTTAAAATTGATTCATTTATATGTTACATCTCCAGTGCTTTGGGAGCTCCAGAATTTAAGATGATAGGAGGCCTTTTTTTGCATAAAAACACTTTAGGTTTTTAAATCATTTTAGAAAGTTGAATTGATGAACAATGAAATGCTACATTTGACCTCTATTGGGTTATTTCTCCTTGTGGATGTTGGAGGAAATAAGCTTAAGTGGTATAAAGAGCAACAATAGTCAAACAAACACTTTAACCTATAAAACACAAGGTATGGGTCCTGTGTGAAACCAAACCAAAAGTCAAAATGTTTTGTTATTTTAAGTTTAGAAAATACTACGTTTCTACATTGACAAGTAACATAATACTTTATATGAAGTATGTAAAAAAAACAATCCTAATTTAACTACAAATCACAATCTTTTTCTAGACCAAGTCGCTATAATGCATGAACTTTCACCTTACGAATCATTGGCAAACAATTGGTTGTATCGTTTAGGTATGAGGACTTTTTGTAAAGACTCCCTTAAAGTATTTTTGTTGGTAAAACTTTCACTCCAATCAGGATTTGAGGCATTTTTACATTGTGGCAGTGCTTTGGTTAAAGGATCTGAATATTTGAATTTGACATGCTGTGAACTCGAGTTTCACTGTTGAATTGAACCTTTCAGCCAAAGGGAATTTGGCAATGACAATGTAAAAGCACTTTATTGGTCGTTAGGCTGAAGGTCAAGACCTTAGTCACCATAGTCACTACAACAAGATGACCCCTGGGAGCATCTTGCATTTTTTTTCTTTGTGGGAAGTTATTACCTTTTTGTTTCTGAGATGCATGTAGGTCATGTTGTTACAATGTCAACCCTTTTCAAACCATTCTCTCCGGTCAAAGGGGGTGTGTGTGTGTGTGTGTGTGTGTGTGTGTGTGTGTGTGTGTGTGTGTGTGTGTGTGTGTGTGTGTGTGTGTGTTCGTGTGCGTGTGTGTGTTTGCACCTCTGTCAGTAACTGTGCGGCTCATTGTCACAGTCTAATACATCTCTTGGCGTTTAGTGCATTCACCCAGACAGCTCGTCATGGTAACACAGAGGACACAGAGGTGGAGGAGGAGAAAAGCCATGTGTAGTAAAATCAGAGTCCTCCTGCTTAGTTTAATAAGATCCTGCTGTGTAACAGCCTTGAATGAAACCAGCTAAAAGTCACATGATGTTGAATATGATGTTGAACTTGAATATCACATGACAGGGTTTACCATGTTGTCAGAGAAATGTAGATGTTTTGAGGATTTTTTGAGCTCTTTTCTCCATGTTGGCTTAACGTTTGAGTTTCAAAGTTCATTCTTTACCTTGGAAACAGCAGTTAACAAAACTACCTCAATTCATGTTCCATATAGTAGCTGCTATTGAGCTTTAATCTAGAATAAATATGAATCCGTATCACCTCTATATAATGTATGTCCAAATGCTGGTTAGTCCATGGCTATCTAGTTTTATCAATCAAATTGCTTTATTATCTAATCAATCATACCTGGGATTTTTACTTGGTGAAATCTTGATAATCCAGAAAGTAGAGTCAAAGAAAGACTATTGATTTTTTATCCCAAAAGGCACCAATTTACCATGTATTTTCCCTTGCACTGACCAATAGTAAACCTAGGAGGTTTTGGGTCACACACAGACACGCACACACACGCACACACACAGCACACACACAGCACACACACTCTCACACACACAAACCAACACACACACACACACACACACACACACACACACACACACACACACACACACACACACACACACACACACACACACACACACACAGTGTCCAGTACAAATCTTCAGAAAAGGGCTGGATCCACATTTTTTCTATCATTTTTCAAGTGTGGACAAAGGCGGTAAAACCAGCATCTTTCAGCCGGGGCTCACACTCAGTCTGGTGGAGTAATTAAAGAGAAAAGAAATGCAGAACGGCCCAGATTCCTCTCTCCTTATAGGACAAAATTGGACTCTGAAGTTTGTGGAACTCAGAATATCTTATTTTTTTCAATGCTGGCAATTAGACAGCCTCTTATAAAAAAGGGAAGAAAAAGAACGGCAGTAAGTTGCATTTGCATTTGAAAGAAGGCAACGCTCAAATGGTGTCACACGAAGCATGAACCTGCTCAGCTTAATGGTGCAAGAAACGGAAATTTCAGATTTTCCAGCAATGAAAGTATTAGCAAAAAGGAGAACTGAACTTTTCCCTTTGTATTTGCAGATGGAGATGCGTTCTCAGGACCAAGCTCTGATCCGGCAGCTGATGGATCTTCACTCCGGCATCCAGGAGCTGAAGCAGGAGTTGTCAGAGGAGGAACAAGAGAAAGAAACAGATGAGGAGGAAGCAGAGGAGGAAGAGGAAAGCAGCTACTGGGACTCTGAGAGTGAACAAGGAAGTGGCAGCGTCTACTCGTCCGGCTCAGGAGGGGTGGGCGTTGCCATTTCCTGTCTCAAGACACCTCCATCCCTTTACTCAAGGGTTTTATCAAAGAGGGTGTTCAACAGGAGGAGCTCTGTGCCTTGAAAATAATAAGAAATATAACTTTTAAAGTCTCTCATCAACTTACGTACAGTAGGCAGTCAACAAAGACAAGGTGGTGCTATATCCCACAATAAATGTGCTTTCTTCTATGTATTTTGTTTTTCTTGAGAGAGGCAAAGGGTTTGACTGGAGTTGAGGGGGAAAAAGGAAAGGCCTGCTGTTCGTACAATTTAAACCCCTTAATTTAAAGCCATTTTAATGTCATCTTTAGCTTACAATGTATCCTTTCTTAATTCATTCATTCACAACCATTTCAGACAGGTTGAATTTAAAATAACTGTTGGGTGTTTTTGGAAATACACTTATCTAATTTTGGCAAAGAGTTCAAGACAGGAAACCGAGGGAAGAGCTAGCTTGACTGCTAGCATGTTGACTTGATTTTTTGTAAAGATTAAAATAAATGTGATATATTGTTATTTTGAGAGAAATAGGGGTGTTTAAGGTGGCTTTTGTTGACTTCAATAGAGCCATACTAGCTGTTTGCCCTTATTCTCTTAGTCTTTATGCTAAGCTAACAATGGCTAAAACAAAAGCAGTCTCAATTTTGTCTTCAAATTATTTATTTTTTAAATGTCTAAAAACATTTTAGTAAGTGTAGAAATGTGACAGAGGATATAATAAGTCCTGTATCAGACATTGACCTAAAGGCAATCATTCATGTCTTTGTGTAGCATTGTGTGTGTTTCAGAAAAGCAAGAGAACGTTTTTTTTCACCCTATACACTCAAATGAATGTTAACAGCTGCTTGCAACACATCAAAGCTGGTTTTACCAAACACTGTTGAGATTGTGATTTTTGTATATTGGATATATCTTGTGAATACATTCTATAATATATATATGTGCTGAAAGCTCACTGACCTTTAACGACTGTAACGGCATGAAGAATGGAATTTCAATGCAGCAGCCTGGAGTTCATGCTTCGTTATTGTTCACATGCAGTGATGAATCATTCTGGAGACAATGTGACACTATTCTTGAATACCTCTTTGAGAAAGTATTATAGGGATACTTTAGTTAGTAGTCAAGAGGAAACACACCTGTGAATCCATCTTTGAAATGTTAACTGGGTCAGATTGTTTGTGTATAGAATTTAATATTGAATAAGCTACTTATGTTGAGTGTGAGACATGGATTAACAAACCATCCTGAAATTCAAACAGGTGCTGTACTACAGTATACTATGGCATCAAAAATAAATATATGAAATCACTCATGGTGCAAATTGTATTTATTGTCAAATCACAAAACATGTCAACATAGAATTTGGACAATGTGGTTTTCTATTTCAGTTTTACATTCATACGGCCTTGTTCTATGACCTAACAAAACATTTACATACAGGTGTCTTTAGTACAACTCTGCATAAGTGCAAAAGATCTATTCAAAAACAATGCCAGCATTACACAAAAGCGCTCATTTAACTCTCCTCTACCCAAATGACTTCACATGCAACAGTTGTCTAGTTTTACCATGACACATTTTACAATGAGCCAAGACAATTGATTCAATATTTTCTGTTCAGTTGCATTAGGACTATAGGTTCCAAGAAGTCTTCAGCCAAAGAAAGGTCTCTTTACTGGGGCCGATTACTGCTGATCCTCCCCCTCTACTTCCACACCTCCAAAACTCTCCCTCCTCAGTCTTTGGATCTCTGTGTTGAGCCCCAGTAGTGTCTGAGCCAGCTGGAGGTCCTGTGAGCGCATCTCCAGCTGCATGACAACAATGAAAGAAATTAATCAGCATTTTTGAAAATGTAATGCATAAAAGTGGAGTTGAAAGTGATATCCACCAACAGATAAAGGCATTACAACAGAGGCAAACTACAAAGGAAAACAGCATATGAGAATATTTTTAGTCAACTCACCAGTTCAGACCTCAGCCAGGTTATCGCTCCATCTATCTGCGCCCTCCGCAGCTCTTCGTTGGCTTGGTAACTCCTGCTGATGCTTACGGGTCTGACAGTGGATCCAGAGTCTTGAGGGTTCACTCTGGACTCTCCTGTTGCCCTGAAGGCATGAATCAGTTTGTTTTTGATGTTCTCCAGAACCATGGTGGACAAGGTATCCTCGCTGTGACTGTCTCGGTCCATGCTGGGAGGGTACAGTGTACGTGTGTGTGCCCTCTCGCGTGTTGCCTCCCAGCACTTTCTTTGACAGGCACTTTCTCATAAAACTCTGGGAATCTTCTTTACTCCAATAGATCTCCACCTTTCTGAACAGGTCTTCCTCCTCTCTCTATGTGAGCTGCACTCCACGCGGCCAAACTCTGTGTGCTCCTGTTCAGCAGCTGCAATCATCCCTTTTGCCTGCCTGGTGTTGAACTGGCTTGTTTTGTCATTGTTACTATGGAGAAACTGGCCTCCGCCTGCATGCCCCTTCTCCCCCGCCTCCTTCTCTTCCTCCTCCTCCTTTTGGTAACCCTAATAAGAATGGTGGAAGATCTCGGACAAAGACTATTGTTGCCTGGAAAGTCNCCCCCCATCCACCACCACCACCACACCCTCCTCCTCTTTCCCCCCCTTTCTCAGTCAATCCCGCCCTCTTACAATTCTAGTGTGAGAAATCTTTTGCGAGTGAGCTCTCATTTGGAAAGTGTCCATGTGGAAACCTGTGCGTGTGTGTAAGACAAAATCCATCAAATACCCGGTGAACTTTTTCAGTGCTTCACCCTAAATAAGACCTGCTTGTCAGCTTAGGAGACGGACAGGTTGGACGAGGAAGGAGACACAGCCTCAGTGTTAGCCGATTCAGAGGCACAAAGGCCATCCAACGGTGAAATATAACCAGGTCCTTTGTGCCCAAGTTAAGTCCATTCCCTGTGGGGTTAGTGGGATGGTTTTTGGCGGTTGTGAGCATTTTCTTTTCTGACTTCTGTACAGAGATGAGACAGGGGTCTAGTTTCTTTTCCAGCCTGACTCATGGGCCTGTCTGTGAAGAGTGAGAGGGCAAATGTGCAGGAGACACCACTCTCAGTCAGTGTTTCCCAAGGTAATTCTTTACTTTTAGGAAATATTTAGCTAGTTTCAAGTACTAAGTCATCGGAAACATAGTGTGTTTGTGAGAGAGATTTGAGACCTTGTCGTGTCCAACACCCCATTACAAAACGCTTAGTCCACACATTGACCATTAAATTATAATCCTATAAATGGCTTAGATTTGCAATTCTGCCATAGAGCCATCTGTAAAGATGGTTGGACGAGTGTGTTGGAGAGAGAGACAGAGTAGTGCACTCGTCAGAGCTCATAAGATGTGAGCTATGACTCCATTTGTGCAGAGATCTGTGGAGCGTGAGAAGAGGTTGAAGGGATTGGGCCGTAAGTCTTGAAGGTCAAGGAAGCAGGGCAATACGTAACAACAATGACAGGGACCAGTGGTGGGATGTACTGTAACTACTTTTTGCTCAAGTACATTGAAATACAAATTTGAGGTACTTTACGTCCATGTTATACTTAATAGCCAACCTTTACTGCATTTGACCTTAAAGGCTAATATTGTAGCCTACTTCCATCAATTGTTTGGCTGTTTAAGTCACTTTCTAGATTACATATTTTGTCATCCCCTTGTCTAGCTAAATAAACAATATAAAAAAACTTTTTAATCAGCTAGAAAATGCAATAACAGTATGTGAAGGGGATAAAACTAGCACAAACTTTAACATTTACAGAAATACGTTTACTTTTTATAATTGTATAAGTAAATGTTGCTGGTTCTTTAAGTAGGTTTTTGAATTTAAGACTTGCACCTATAGTGGAGTATTTTCACATTGAGTTATAAGTACCTTTACTTAACTGAATACTCACACACAAGCACAGACTGAGCCTCAGGTGTTGGGATAGAGCGGTATTTCCTTTAACACTGTATAACAGTCCGATGCAATGTATTTTTCGAGTTCACTTTTTAGTGAGTGTAAGCTGCAGAGATGCGGTTAGGGACCTGAACACTGAGGGCTCCAGGTTTGAAAAATAAGCCACTAAAGTGCCCTCTTGGATGCTCCTCTGAGGTTGTTCATTTTGCCATAACGTTTCCCAACCTTTAAATGTATGAAATGTGACTGTAATTTTAAGAACATGCTTGTTAATGTTTTGGCTTGTGTGTAACATTTTGCAAGTTAAACAATGTTCAGGATAAATCACAGGTTATTGGTGTTTGTTGTTTTCAATTTTGTCAAGTCCTATCATCAAACTTATCCAATTAATTCAAGTGAACTGCATGTGAGACAAGTCTAAATAAACTAGTAGAAATGTTTTTCCCTTGGGCTTTATGGTTTCCATGAAAAACACATTGTGTTGGCTGTGCCTGTGCCTTGCCTCGATACAAATTTTAAAACAAATGTGTTAATGGGTTCAGCAAATATTATATTTTCAGACTCGCCTAGAGGATAACAAAGAAAAAAGACGTACGTTTAATGTGAGAACGTATGTTGGAATTATAGATGAAAAATAGATTTGAGCAATGGACTCAGGAAGGGTTCAGTCCCACTGTTTACATTTTTGTAACTAAACGACAAGTCACTCTTTAAGTAATGATATTGGGGAAGCATTATTGGATTATTTTTCTTTTATATAAATAAATCAATTTAAATGTGATGTCACTACCTTAAATGATATTCCTTTATAGTTGTATTTACATATTAATTAAAGTATAGTATGTTACACATCATATAAGATTCCTGATGTTGTGTAACCTTTTAGCCAACTTTGCTGCCACCTGGTGGCAAATTTAGCTACTTGCAATCTCAAAAAACAGTCAATCATTTTACATTTATGCAACTTGTACTACTGCCATTTCTGCAAATTGAGATATGTATATGGTACAAGGTCAAGTTTAGACACAATTGTACAGACCAAACAATATATTTGCAGAAGCCTCCTGTGGAAAGTTAAGCAAGATTAGGACTAGGATTTAAAACATAGATAGAACATAAAGGGTGAGAAATAGGTAGGAAAATAACGATACAACAAAGAAAAATTACACAATACAGAGTTGTTCTTAAATGTTTGCTACATTTATTTCGCGGGTATAGTTTGGGACTTTGCAGATTTATATTTTGCATAGAAAAAATTTGCTCAGTTTTGAAGATATGATACATTTTTTAAATAAGATTACAGAAAGGGATCATTCTGTAGGAGTAGCCTACTTTACTTTGAAATGCGAACAAGAGGTGTAGAAATGATAAAGTATAGAACTGTACCTATAACAAAAAGAAAGCCACTTACTTCCAGATAATCCAATAATATAGTTAGGCCTACTCTGAAATTAGCCATTTTGCATAATGAGTACTTTTACTCTTTGAACAAATTCAGAAAACAGTATTTTTACTTGTAACTTAGTTTTCTTACACTGCAGTATTGCTGTGTTTGTAAGAGATCTGAATTATTGTTCAACCACTAAGGGTAGACACAGGTAAGATATGCACAGGTGCAGAGTTAAGCCTCCTTCCACCATCTCCCACATCAGCACCACTCTGCATCTTGCTGAGGTTTATAACCGTACAGGGAGGGGGGAGAGGACGCCATCTTGTTTGTTTTAGTGAGAGGAGGGGTGGAAAAACAGACCCGGAGCCGAACCACCGGCATAACGAGGAAAGCCCCAAACGGCTTAACGGTGAGTCATATCGGTTACGATCGGTTAGGGTGTGATATAACTTGTTTTTTGTCAGTGTCAACAGAGATACCTCCGCGGTGCTGAGGTTAATGACAGAGGCTAATGGTAGCTGATCCGCATCATCACCTGTTGTTTTCACAGAGCGTCAGCGGTAATGCGGTTAAATGTGACTGTCACCGCTAACGTGTAACGCTGTTAAGCGGTCGATATTTTACGGCTATACTAACGTGCCTGCTTCCCCCCATAACGCTGGATGCTAACAAGAGTGTAACGTTACTGACTTATTGTTTTAGAGTAATCAAAACATATTGGGGCAGATAAAGATAACGTTACATTACAGTGCTGCAGGTATGGCTGCCAATTGTACCTAGGCTACCTGACAGACATATACCTTAAAATCACATGATGTAGGCCTACGGTAAAGTATTCATTTACAACATCTTAAGACTGGGCTGAAACAAAACAACACATAGGCTATATTGTGTAGTGGTCAGGTAGTTCCAATTGGTGGGAAAATAATTCAAGTCAATAAGGCGACAAGTATTTAGAATATGCTACACAGTAACCTATAACTTCATTCTAAATTTTTTTTTAAAGTATTCAAAAAGTAAGCACACCTGCTCTCATATTGCTAAACATTGTCTTTTGAATTTCTCAAAGGTGAATATCAACTTTGCTTAGACATTATGACTGTTACTGTTCATCCGCACGGCACAGTTTGTTAAAATAACTTGAAAATAACATAATCCATGCTATCTGGATATGGCGGATTGTGTTATGTATTATTGATCAAGTTATCATTATGAGAATGCTCGAAGATTGTTCCTTTCTAAAATGAAGTAAATAGCCAAAACATCAATCCCCAATTTATCTCAATTATACACTTCCTGTTAGCTTCCTGTTAGCTAGGTTTTAGAAAAGTCTCAATTAATCAATTTGCACCCTGCTTTGAACTGCTGTCATAACTCCTATTTAGCTAGACAAGCATGACATCATCTTCAAAGATTATGCTTGCAAACGCTTATACCACACAATGAATGTGTTATCTCAAGTGTCATGCTTTGCTTACCTATTAATTGCTGTGATTTCCATCAAATACACACTTATTTGTATTATCTCTTTTAGGCCTCCCCCTTTCCCCTTTCCCTTGTGGTGAGAAGGCGCTGAGGCGATGTTTTATGCCCACTTTGTACTCAGCAAACGTGGGCCGCTGGCCAAAATCTGGCTGGCGGCCCACTGGGACAAAAAGCTGACCAAGGCTCATGTGTTTGAGTGCAATCTGGAGAGCAGCGTAGAGAGCATCATCTCACCCAAGGTAATTGCACAATGTACAAAGGTAATGTGAAACACTGCAAGTATATGTTACAGTTCTGTCAATGATCATTTCGGAACATACCTTTTTTAAAGGTGAAAATGGCTTTACGAACATCAGGGCATCTGCTGCTGGGGGTGGTGAGGATCTACCACAGGAAGGCCAAGTACTTGCTGGCAGATTGTAACGAAGCCTTCATCAAGATCAAGATGGCGTTTCGACCGGGTTGGTAACAAAATGCAACTTTTAAGTCAAATATATTCAGCAGTGACTCATTATACTCTTTCCTCTAGTGCTCATTACATGCATTGTCAGTCAGATATTGAAGCCTTTCCTATGTTCCTAGATAAAGACAATATTTAGTTAAGGTTTTATCTGCATCTACACAAATGCGTGCACACACCAACATT